AAGTAGGGTAAACATAACTTACTTACAATGAAGCTTTAGCTAGGAGTCGGGCTTTGCGGGGCAAAACTCCGTCGCTGAATCTTTCTAAAAAGATTCTTGTAGTGCTTCAGCGCTCACCTTACTATACTAAAACTACAGAAAGAGAAGTCGAATCACGAGAGACCGAAATGTTCGGGGGATAATAAGAGAAAGACTCTTGAATCAAGAGAATGATACAAGAAATATGAGAGCTAGACCATCTTATTTATAGTAATTGAATTTTCAAAAACCACCATCTATAGTTACTTAAATGACTAAACACCCCTTTATAATACTATTTTAAATAGATTTAATGATATTTATACTAAACTAATGTCAAAAGTCTTCACCACTAGTCTTATAACGACCGCATCGTCGATACCTTTCTAATGATATGTATATATATATATATATATATATATATATATATATATATATATATATATATATATACATACGTATATATGATTTATACTTTATTTTAATACGTTAATATGCTATTATAAATTATAACTCGTTCATACGAACTCCGTTTTTGACGTTCCTTATATCCACACGTAGCTATTGACGAGATCTACAACTTTCGTTTAGAATCCATCGGCTAATTTTGACTTTATTTTTCGTCCATATTTTTATAAAATTAAATGATTTTGCTATAATCACAACTCTCTCGTACGGACTTCGTTTTTAACATTCATTTTTTCAAAATTCTTATTTTAAAGAGTACTACGATTTTCCTTTGTGGTGGCTTTAGCTAAAAGTCAACCATTCTCTTCGTAGCTTTTTATGGCATACATTCGTTGTGCGCGGCTGACTTTTATATCTTATAAAAATCATATCTAATTCATGCGGAGTCGGGTTTCTATGAAATTTATATTTTCGGGATCGCGTAGACGTGCACTTTCTATATATATATATATATATATATATATATATATATATATATATATATATATATATATATATATATGTTTCAGTGCATTTATTTTTATGATTTATGGGCAATTCGATTGATTTTTCCTATTTTATTATATTAAAATAATCATGAAACATGTAATATTCATAAAATTCTTCTTTAAATTGTCATATAGGTAACAATTGTTGACCCTAACTGTTACATTGGTTAAGATTATTTATCCTAGATAATCTTCTATAAAAAAAATATTTTTAACGCTTATTATCTCTAAATTGACTAGCCCGAATCTGCTTACAACAAAGAATGCCGAAAACAGGATCCGTATGTGAGAGATATGATTTTTGTAAAATTATTTATTTTTACCAACGTTAGACACAAAAATAAAAGTTAAAACTAGCTAAAACAACCTAAAGGAAAGTTGTAGTACTCCTTGAGATCATCACACAGATATAAAGAGAGCTTAGATCGGAGCTTGCATGAAAGAGTTATGATTTTTACAAAATCATTTCATGCGCGCGAGGTGCACGCATATGCCCATCACGCACTTGACACCAGATTCAAGTAGATTGCGAGATATGTGGCCAAGTGGGGAGGTGACACGTGACAACCTCTGGATGGAGTCACGATAATCAGGCATGATGCGCACGGATCTTTGCATCGCGCGCACCCCAAATTCATACATATAAATAGAAGGCGGTGCATAACCATTTATGCACAACTTTCTCTGAATCTCTCTCTCTCTCTCTCTCTCTCTCTCTCTCTGATCTTAAAGTGGTTGCTACCCTAGGCGGTCCCCGAATCCGCGAGCCCTATTTAACCCTACATCAGCGGTCTCACGTGTTAAGGGTGACTTCACGGACCCAATTTACAATTTTAAAAGTTTTACCGGGGGGTGGGGGGATACATGCTTATCGAACTGCTTAATCAATACATATTTATATACATATATATCAGTAGTTATAAAGCATGAAACCTTAGCATAATGAAACCACAAATACTCTACGTAGCTGTAAACTATGATATTATGCCTAAGAGTTATGATGCCTAATGGTCTAGGAAAAGATGTTACCTAGATGTTATACTTGCCAAATTCATAGGATAACATAGTACCTAGAAGTAATGCTGGTCCATTATATAGATATGCACTGTACTTAGTTGTTACTCTGCCCGAATATCATGTTTTCAAATCAACCATAATTAGGGTGTATATATATATATATATACACATACACACACAAAGATAATTATGAGATATATATAAATTATAATTATCAAATATAAAGTAAAAAAATTATATTGTGATAATTATTGTAGTTACTAAGTAAAAGAGTTAAAGAAAAGATAAAATACCTAAGGTTAATGTTTTAGTGAGATTTTATTATTCATCCTTAGCCTGATTAAATTCGACTACCCCGAACCTATTATAGTTAATCTTACGAGAGTCAGGAAGATATGTATAGATCTATACGAGAGTGACACCCCACCTACGATTGCTGGCTACAATCCTGGCATGATAACTTTCTTTATTATATACAAGTAACATTCAACATCCGATGAAACGTCGTGCGGAGGAAATTATTAGTCCACAACGTCGATTATGAGGCTCATGGTAATATAACCCGAAAACCTTAAGGAATCGACTACCTAGAGGGATGTCTTCGACTAGTTAATATAATAGATTAGTATTAATAAAATATCCTAAAATATATTATAATAAATTAGGATTAAAATGTTATAGGAAATATTCAAGTTAGGATTGGTAAAATATTTTAACAAAGGAAGAAATGTTTTTCTAAAAGAAAAATGATTCGTAATTTAATACAATCAAATAATGACTATAAAAACCTATGAACTCACTAACATTATGTTGACGTTTTCAAAGTACACTCTATCTCTTTGTGCCACCACTTGATCATAAAGTTGGAGAGAGTCTTGATACCAAGCTCTCGGAACTTGTTTAGTTGTTCGAGTACAAACCAAACTTAAAAACCATATTCCAAGTTTGAGATCAAATTCAGGTTTAAGTCTCAACTTTTGAGTACAGATGCATATTGATGGTCCTAGGCTGGTTTCAAAATTGTACGGCCTTTTTACGACCAGTCTACTCTTGGAATGGCCCGCCTTTTTTTTAACCGGTCTCTGAACAATCCAATTTTTTTTTGGTCCAATATTATTTTAGATGGGATAATGACTTAAAAGGGTAATATATTTTTCGATTTGTATAAATTTAGTCACTGAGTTTTTTTCGTCCACATTTATCCCTTCAACTTGTTAAACTGTACACATTTAGTCCTTATGACCGGCTACTCCAGGTTAGCCGGTAAAAATGACTTAATAGGGTAATATATATCTCACTTTGTACACATTTAGTCCTTAATATTTTTGTACACATTTAGTCCTTAATATATTTTTTTGTTGCAAAATAAGTCATTTTTGTTTTTGTATTCATTCAGTACTTATGAATGATTTTTTTAGGTTTTTCTCACGACATCTTATGTGGGATAGCCATATAGTGGTGGGATAGTTTGAGGTGGTCCTGCTATATGTTGTAGGCCAAGATACCTGGTGCGGGCCGACTATAAGCTATAGGCACGAAGACTCGAGATGAGCTGTTGGGTTAAGGCGGCATGCCAACAAACCTTGGGTATTCCAGTCCGATGACTGATTGGACCTGTTGCATGTTGGCATTCCAGTCTGATGACTGATTGGGCCAAGGTATTCCAGTCTGATGAGTGTGGGAACGTTATGCATGATAATACGTTTGTTGTATCGGGTATTTTGGGGGAAACTCACTAAACTTTGTGCTTACCCAGTTGTTTATGTTTTCAGGTTCTATCGTTGGTCGTGGGAAGGATAATGCATAAATGTACACACTCATCAACAATATTGAGGATTCTGTGTTTCTTATATTACTCTGATTTTCGATAAATGTATTTTTGAATAAAAGTTTTTTCTTAATAATGGATTTATAATTAGGGAGTTTTGCCTTATTTAAAAATGAAATTTTTTTGTTGTGAAAATGAGACATTACACATAAACATCAACAACCCCACACACTTCGTCAATGATTGTCCCACGTAAGATGTCGTGAGAAAAACCTAAATAAAACATTCATAAGTACTGAATGTGTACAAAAACAAAAATGACTTATTTTGAAACAAAAAAATATTAAGGACTAAATGTGTACAAAAATATTAAGGACTAAATGTGTACAAAATTAGAAATATATTACCTTATTAAGTCATTTTTCCCGGCTAACATGGAGTAACCGGTCATAATGACTAAATGTGTACAGTTTAACAAGTTGAAGGGGTAAACGTGGACGAAAAAAAAACTCAGTGACCAAATGTGTACAAATCGAAAAATATATTACCCTTTTAAATCATTATCCCTATTTTAGATCGGTCTAATTTCATACTTTTTTGGGGACAAATCCGAAAACGTATTTTAGGTCATGCTTGCTTCTGAGTTAAACCAGGATATGATATAAGAGAAATTAAATATCCTCCTACCTTTTGATCCTACTAATCTTCCTATCCATTTAAATGATGACATGTGTCATATTAGTATCCTAAAATATCATTAAATTTCATTAAATGAACATTAAATGTTACACATGTCATCATTTCATTGGGTAGGAGGATATGTAGGAACAAAAAGTAGGAGGATATTTAATTTCTCATGATATAATTTAAAACTGGATGACCAAAATTTAATTAAGTTCCTATTAGGCATATTATATATATAGGCCCAAACATAAAGCCCACATACCTTAACCCATATGAATTCAGTATCCGAGTCCATCGATGTTTCTCTTCTCTCTCCCTCTCTCTCTCGTTCGCCGTCTGCTCCACGGCCGACCAGGTATCTCACATTTCTTTCAGTGCGTCTGTGTTTCGTGTGTGCAATTGCAACTAAACAAGACAAATCGGTCCTGTAATTCTACATTCCGATTCATTTCTGCTTTTACAGTTCACCATCTGAGCATATTCATCTCCGAGTTTGTTTTCATGCTCGGAGTTCACTCAATCTGATGATATGTATATCTTGAGATACCCAGTTGGATATGTATAGAGCTCTTGGCAGACATCGGCTCATATACCGTTCCCTCATATCAAACTACGTTAAAACTGGTCTTATAGACAAAGCCCTCCAAGTGTTCGACAAAATGTCTCAATCAGATTGTCGAGTTTTCAGCATTGACTACAACCGTATCATTGGCGTTTTGGTATGTCATTCACGTTTCGAATTAGTGGAACTGTATTACGATGCCATGATTCCAAAAGGGTATTCTTTAAACTCATTCACATACTCAAGGTTTATATGTGGTTTATGTAAAGTTAAAGACTTTAGATTGATTGATAAACTTTTAAAAGACATGAATAGAATAGGAGCTGTGCCTGATATGTGGGCATACAATATGTATTTAAATGTTCTATGTTCTGAAAGCTCAGTGGACATAGCTTTAACAGTGTTGACAAACATGGTTGAGAAGGGTAAAGAACCTGATGTTGTGAGCTACACCACTGTTATAAACGGTCTAATGAGGGCTAAAAAGTTCAATGAAGCTGTTGAAATGTGGCATGAAATGATCCGAAAAGGTATAAAACCAGATTCCAATGCTTGTAGAGCTCTTGTTTTGGGTTTATGTAATGTTGGAAAGGTTGACTTAGCTTATGAATTAACAGTAGCTGTGATGAAACTTTCCTTCAGCACACAAGTGTACAATGTTCTTATTCATGGGTTTTGTAAAGCTGGTTGCCTTAATAAAGCACTAGCAATCAAGAGCTTTATGAGAAGAAACGGGTGTCCACCTGATTTGGTTACTTACAACATGTTTTTGAATTATTATTGTGATGTACTGATGTTAGAAGAAGCTGAAAAGCTAATGAAGAGTATGGAGAGAAGTGGTATGAAGCTTGATAGTTATAGTTACAACCAAATCATCAAAGGTTTTTGCAAAGTGAATCGTATAGAAAAAGCATACATGTTAATGGTGAGAAAGATGGAAGTGAAAGGTATGGTTGATGTTGTATCTTATAACACAATCATTAAAGCTCTTTGTAAAGGGCCCCACAACACTATGAAGGCGTATGAGTTATTTAAAGAAATGGGCATTCAAGGTATTCTTCCAGATGTTGTTACTTTTACCATTTTGATTAAATCTTTTCTGAGAGAAGGTGATTTTAATGTGGCAAAGAAGCTTTATGATAAAATGACAGAAATGGGTTTGTCACCTGATCGTGTATTATATACAACTTATATTGATCATATGTGTAAAACAGGGAGAATATCAATGGGTCATGATATCTTTTGTGATATGGTGAAAGATGGGATTAAGCCTGATGTTGTTTGTTATAATGCGATTATTGGTGGATTTTGTAAGGGTTTTAGGGTAAGTGAAGCTATGGATTTGTTTGAGAAGATGAAAGTTGAAGGTTTGTATCCAGATGAAGTGACATTTAGATTGATTATTAGAGGACTTGTACATGAAAAGAAGCTTTCATTGGCTTGTAATGTGTGGGATGAGATGATGAATAAAGGTTTTACTCTTGATACAGATCTTTCAGAGACTCTTGTTAAATCCATCCATTCAAAACATGCATATGGCATATAAGTATTGGAAAAAAGGTTTCTACTTTATCAATTATCACCCCTCCATGAATCTCTTTACATGTCAATAATATCTTTAAAATTCGTATCATGATAATCTTTTCTACATGAAATTTCAGGTTGAATTATTTTGATTTGAAGTTGGGCATATGAGTAGAGTTGATATGCCACTTCAAAGTCTCATCATCTTTCCAATTGACTTCAAGTTGCCGACCAAGGTAATCATGTATTCATATTTTGTTTGCAAATTATGAAATGGTTTGAGTCTTTAAGATAAAAGAATCAATTAGAGATTCGATTGTTCATGATCATAAACCATAATTTAAGTTGTAACTATTTATGGACTAACTACAACCCATAATTTAAGTTGTAACTATTTTCAATTTGTATTAGGTGCTCGTTAAATGAGGAGGGCATTTACGTCATTTGCACATACGAGAAGCCGAGAGTGAGTCTATTGTTCTAGTCCAATGCATGCCAAACACAGTACAAGACTAGCAGTCTATTATGTTTTGTCTCGTCATGTGTAACAAATGGGCTTTGAAGCACTTGAAGGAGACAATAAGATGTTAATAACTTAATAAGGTGACAAACCATGTTCTGTTTTTGAGAACATGTGATAAACATTTTATGAAACAAATGGAAAACAATTTCCAAGTTGGATTTTAATAATGAAAAATGTGAGTCCAAAAATGTTTGTAAAATCATTTGGATAGGGTAGCGATTGATGAAACATTTTAATATCTAAACTTAGTTTGATGTAAATATGTAGCCACAAAATGAGCTCTAAAATGTTCAATTGTAATTTTGTATTTTTCTTTTTTAAAAGAGAACTCCATGATGTCATTTGTTTGTAATTTAATTCCATAATGTTTGACACGTGTTATTTGTTTTCCATTATGTGTTATATATCTTTTTTCAAAAGCCATGAGCATCCATGTTCCAATACTCCTTGTAAGTAGTGATATTATATCAAACCATCAAAATTGCAACTTGGGATGATCTACAAACCATCGGCATTGTGTACATATGCATGATTGCGATCTAGAACTTTTAACTCTTTGAGGTGAAGTTTGTTGCTTATAGTTTTGCTAAACCACAATATATGGTGGTTTTTAAATATAAAACAACAGTTCAAACCGCACTGCGAAATATATTTTGATCATTACTTGACTGTTACCCGTAAAATGAATGGTGAAATTTTAAGATATAAAACGAACAAATAATGACATATGGACGGATTGATCGTGCTAAAATATTTTAATCAAATCTGACTTCTTCTCATTACTTTGGATAAGGCGATTCAAGATGATCTACAAAGAAACACAACTATCTATAAAACTTTCATGATATACGTTTTTGGAAATTCAATTTTTATCTGGTTCAAAGATTGGAAATTAAAAATGGGGTGTTGATGGCTACAAATTCGAATTTAATGAATTTTTTTTGGTCAATGCATACTTAGGGTCTGTTTGGTATGATGGAATGAAATGACAAGTGAATGGAATAGACGAGGTAATGGAATGGATCATTACCATTCCATTGTCCTTTTTGGTTACTCTATTGTAATGGAACTAATCATTAATTCATGTTGTTTGGTAGGCAGGAATAGACAAAGGAATGGAATTAAATTCATTCACAATGACAAAAATACCCCAAACTCAAAATACATATAATTTATAAATTTTCACACTGTTATCTAATTAAAAATTATAATGTATATTAGGAGAATAAACTATATTTAACGAAATAAAATAGAAAGAACATTTTTTTCTCACTAAAAATTTAGAGTAAATTACACGAATGGTCCCTATGGTTTGGGGTAATTTGCACGCTTGGTCCCAAACTTATCTTTTTAACTCGGAAGGTCATTACTTTTTGTTTTTTGTTGCGCGTTTGGTCCTTGTCTTACCTAAAAAGACTATTTTGCCATTGATTTTTTAATTTATTTAAATAACCACACCCCCAACCCTACTTCCACCTCACTTTACCTTATCTTACCTACCCCTCCTTATTTAAATAAATTAAAAAATCAAGTGAAAAATAGTCTTTTTAGGTAAGACTGGGACCAAACACACAACAAAAACAAACTGTAGGGAGCTTCCGAGTTAAAAAAATAAGTTAAGGACCAAACATGCAAATTACCGCAAACCATAGGGACCATTCGTGTAATTTACTCAAAAATTTATTGAAAATTCATCATATTTAACATCAAGCAGCTTCGTCAAGAACGTTCTTAACCATTCAAGTTTGCGGTCTTATACTAATTGGACAAAATGGAAATAAAGAAGATTGCATTGGAGGGTATTAGTGGTCTAAAATGTCTAAGAATGCATTGAAGGGTACTAGTGGTCTAAAATGTCTAAGATTAACCTCCAGACAAAACGGGAATAAAGAAGATTGCATTGAAGGGTACTAGTGATCTAAAATGTCTAAGATTGCATTGAAGGGTACTAGTGGTCTAAAATGTTTAAGATTAACCTAACAAAATGAGAATAAAGAAGATTGCATTGAAGGGTACTAGTGGTCTAAAATGTCTAAGATTAACCTCTATAAGATTTCTTGTTTCCTATTTTATTAGTAAATATAACAATTAAAAATCTATTAACATTTGGCTAAATTTACGTATTTCTGAACATCAAACAACAAAAACCGCTAGGACCACAAGTCTATGATTTCTGAAAATCTAAAATTTTCAGGATATAGTTTGTGCAATTTTGACCCTAAACCATACCTAGAATATCCCTATTTATTTACAACGTTTAAAATTGTTATATTATTATGATACCATCTATATTATAATTAAGAAGGCATCATAAATTTTCATTATTATTTCAATGAGTGTTATCGAAGAAAAAAAATTCTTGCTAATATTTCTATATAAGAAGGGATGCATAATGAAATATATTACAAAGATAAATAGAACGAAGAAATCTACTTGTAGAGATTTGATTCATCACTTATCACTAATCGTACGTACTTTTGAAATTATAATTGCATCATTCCAAAATTATACAATAATATCTCGGATGATCAATTATTCCGAAATTATGTCACTATATATCATCATATGAAGTTAATAAGACAGAGCAGAAGTGAAAGATGAAAGCACTGTACCGGGGAAACAAAATCTTTCTAGTTCTGCTAGCCTCTTACTTAAGCTGTGAAAAAAGAATTGCTAGTGAAAGTGTTCTTTTTTTAGTCACCAAACTCCTATCCTACGTATTTTAAACATTTGTTTTTTCTAATTCATCGTTCTTTAGGACCATCTCGAGAGAGTTTTTAGTCGTTCGGAAATTCAAGGTCATAGCAAACTCTATATTTCTTTTATAGAACTCGAGGATTTTGCACTTTTTAACACCCAAATAGCCATAGAGATCAATTTTAATGCTCGAGTTTGATTCAAAGCATCAAAACAATATTTTAACACTAATCTAAATATCAGTTAACACTACAATCCCAATTTAATGTTATAATTAAAGGCTTTCACAATTATCATCATCTTAACATCAAAAACTCGCATTATTTCTTCCTTGAATTGAAAGTAAGACATTAGAATACATGTGGAAAGTGTAAACATCTTCGATTCACCAAATAATCCATCAATTTTGAACTAGAGAGATCAATCGGTTATCCTCTATTGGAGTTTCAAACCTTAAAACCAAAGCTTCAAGAGGAAGGAGATGTCTTATCTGATTCCCCAAGCGTAATTTGATGAAATAACTTCATGAAGAACAATCAAACACCATTAATTTCAAGTTTCCCAATGAAATGAAGCTTTCCCTCTCTTCTTCATCTCTATTTCTCCTCCCATATGTCTTAGAGAATGAAAGGCAACCCCTAGAAGTTAAAGTCTCTCTCACTCATTCACTCTTTCTCACACACACATACACAAACACACTTGCACATACTAATCCTTCAATTTAGACCATGTGAAATACTTACCCAAGTTGATAATTTCTTAACATTTATGGTCATTAAAAGAATGAATAGGTTAATGACCATTTAAATTCCAAGTAGCGTTACAGGTGACACCAAGTTCTACACAATGTCCACCCTTGAAATAAACCCAACACTAAGAAGCCCAACTTCATGAGCTGAATACATTATACTTGATGGATCCAATTCTTTTATTAGACCCAACACGCTAAATAGGCCCAATTGTCCAAATATACTTTGTTAGGCCTAATACTTAATTAACATAAGTAATAGAGTTATGTTGTTTGCACTTGCACATGAAAGAGAGTTACTTACGAACATACTTTGATCCTTCAAAATTATTTTAATATTAATAAGTCAAAATAACCCAATTTCACATCTTTGTTAGGGTTTATGACTTGTTTTTGCATGATCCTTGTGGTTTCTTTTTATTTTGGATATGGTCCTTGAGTTAACATATGACCATTAAATATATGTAAATTATTTTATTTCCCAACAAGCTAATGTTGTGTTTTGCGTACCACAGCTAGTTTTTCAGCTATCAGTTAGTACGTCAAACATAGCCTATATGTCGTGTTTGGCAAACCAAAAAATAGCTTATAAGCTAGCTTTTTAAAAAACTACTTAGACTAGATTTTTAAGAGTTTTTTTAAAAAAAATTCAAATATACCCCTTAATTAATTATAGAAACACATTTTCTTAAATGCCCTTTTATGTAATTTTATATCTTTCATTTAGCTTTTCGGTTAATTTTATCAAACATCATTTTTATCAGCTAGCTTTTCAGCTAGTCCATCAAATATATTTTTTTAATAAAAATATATAATTTTATTTCATTCATCTTCATCATTCACAGGATTTTGTGGATCTTTAATGTTCAATCATATCCTTTTGGCTTTCGTTTTTCTCAGGTGAAACTCAATAATCCACCAAAAAACAAGAAATGTGAGAACCCTTTTTTTCAAAACCCTATTTTTCTAATCTTTCTTTGTTAATTCTTGACAGGTTTACAATCCGAAAGATATTCGATCTTCTGTGAAAATGACGTAAATGCCCTCGTCCTCACCATTAACAAATCACAAAAGAAAAAACCCCACAATAAATTCTTTTCAAATTCATTTACAAAAGGAAAAAAAAAATCACCAACAATCATATAAATTGTCCAAATTCATATCTTCTGTACAGTAAACTAAAAAAATTCATAAAATCTATTCATTTCGAGTGTATAGAGAAAAAGAAAAACTGACCAAAAGGACAAAAATGCCCTCAGAGAAGAGGTTCAGAAAGCTCCATTTCATTTGCACCATTCTGAGGCGTGTCCGGCTGGCGGGTGGGTCCCACTCCCACAGGGTCCAACCCGAGCCATTCCCAAGGCCAGCATACGTATCTTGGCCTACTATTTTTATTGGTGGAATTTTTTCGTGTATCAAGTTGTTCAAGTTGACTAGTCAACTCTTCAATTCTCTCCCTCAAACGAATAGCCCGTGTGTCTGCTAATTTTAATGATGTCTCAGCTGCATCTCTTGCTGCCATTGCAGCACCTGCTGTTTCCTCTTTCATTTTTATCTTCTTCTCTGATTCCATCACAACTTGCTTTGCTTCTTCTAATTCTTTACGTATTCTAGATAACTATCGTTTTTTTTTTGTATATAATCAGTTTATTGATTCATAAATTATAATATGATTTTTTTTAAGCATACCTGTGATACATACTCATGTTCAACACCTTTCCCTGCTGCAGCTTCCTGTTGTGCTGCTACTTTCCATCTAGCAATCTCCTCTTCAGCTGCAGCAATATCCATCATAAGCCCTTCAACCTACACCACAAAACAATATCATCAACTTTTTTTTTTAAAAAATTTTGATCCTCAATCACACAATCATTAGAAAACATACTTACATTTTCATTTGCTATTCTCTCCTTTTCTTCAAGTTCTTCCACCTCTTGTTTCCTTTGCAAAAGCTCCTTCCTTTGAGCTTCAACATGTTCCTTAAGTAAACTCGACTCTGCCCTTAATTACAAATAACACACCAAAGTTATAGCTACAATCAGACATGATGTCATTATCAAAAATAAAAATAAAAAATACCTTAGTTCATCAACCGTATGCTGGAGTTCGATTATCTCAAGCTGAGATTGTTTTATGATGTTCTCAAGAGCACCAGCCTGTGTATAGAAGAGAATTATTTTAGCTAAAAAAAGATTTTGTGAAATTAATGATGATGATAAGATACTAACCAAATTATATATTTCATCATCCTCTGTAAGAGTTTCATTGAACTTGTAATTAATTCCGGATTCTTTTAATCCGTTTTCTGCTACTTTAAACAGCTCATTGGTTTTTGAAGAAAGATCGGATGACATTCTTCTTGATAAAGCACTCTTTAGTAAGGACCCGATATGCTCTTTCTCCTTTGATAACTGAGTGACTTTTTCGTTTAGAGTTTTCACTTCTCGGGTTCTTTCCATTACCAAATCCTTTGTTTTTTCCAAAAGAAGTGAACTTAATTCACTTATGGACTCCATTCCAGCTAAAGAGGCTCGTATATTCTCCTCTATGTCTGTTTCTTGTGGAAGAAACAAGGAATCTGATAAATCTGATTGTTCTTTGTTGTTACCATTGATTATCTTGATGACACTGCATATCTGGTCATGTATCTTTGAAACGTGATTCAATTGATCAACAAGTAATGGCCTTTGTGAATCCATACGTGATTCCAAAACCCTCAACTTATTACCATATTCACTTGATAAATCTTGCTTCTCATTCAACTCGTTTTCCAATTCTGATAGAATCTCGTCTTTCTCCTCCATTGATTTCTTTAAACCTTCAAGAACGGAATCTCTCTTTGACACGTCCTCTCTGAGCCTACTGATTGAAGCTTCAAGCTCTGATACTTCAATGGCGATCTCGTAATTCCTCTGTTCCATTTGCTCTCTAGCCTGATTCCTTGACTTGGTTGTTAAATCTATCTGACTAACAAGCTCATCAACGATCTCATTAGTTCTCACGATCACTCCATAAGCAACAGCTGGTAAACCAGTGTACTTTTGCGACCTAGGTAATCCTCCGGACGTGAAGTTTTTGAAGTTATTCACTTTACCTGATATTTTATCGATTCCGGTTACTAACATCTGGGCAGCTGTCTGAATCTCAGACCTAGATGAATCCTTGGCCTTCACTGATTCCTCTAATTGCTTCGCGAAATCACCTTTCTGCTTCAACAACTCGTCTTTTTCCTTAACGAATTCAGCCAACTGCGTCGATAACTCTTCTTTTTCCTTAACAGCTTCAGCCAACTCCGAAGATAATTTCTCGTTTGATCTAAGATGTTCATCTCTCTGGCGCGACGTCTCGTCTCGCTTTTTGATCGCTTCGTGTGCCAGAACTTTCAATCGATTAAACGAAACTTGCAAATCCGATTTCGATTTCTCCACTAATTCACGAGCTTGTCGTTCACGATCGAGCTCCGCCACCACCTCTCGAAATCTCTCAACCGACACATTTTCAGTCGACGGTGAAGTTCCAATAACAATCGGCGCCGGAAGGTCTTCCTCTTCTTCCACATCACTCAACATGGCATCACTATCTTCTACACCCGCCATACTTGAACTCAAAATAAGCGATCAATCACAAAGAACTTCGATTAATCAAAATTCGGCGATCGTCGGAAAATTTGAAAAGAACCAATTCAAAAATCAACTGATAGTACCGATCAATCACATAAAATTCAATTAATCAAATGATTGCTACAATTCTAATCAAACTACAACCCAGATAATTGTGAATCCGATTGAAGAAGTGGAAGTCAGGGCGATAATTGTCAGGGTTTAAGTAAAACACTAGAAATCGAGGATTATCGGGCACCTTTGGTAAATCCGAACTCCCAAGAAAGATCAAAGAATTGAAGAACAATGTTTTGGAGTTATCGGGGACCTTTAGTACCTACCAATCTTTGGCAGTATCTTTCCTTTTGGGGTTTCCATTGTTAGCGGAGCAGCGTCTCACACCCGACAACGACCGGGCCGTGTGTGTATCGACATAAATCGGGTCGGTTCGGTGGCTTGAATAAGCTTTTGGAGGTGTTCAACAAAACTAGAGAGCAGTGGGTGGGTAGGGATGATCATTTGGACCGGAACCGGTCGGAACCGGAACCGGAATCGGATAGAACCGATCGGATCGAGACCGGGACGATATTCTTGTGAATTTTTGGAACAAGGAACCGATAGAATCGGCAAAAACTAGTAGAACCGACAAAAACCGGAACCGTATGTTGCTATTTCTCAAGGACCTGTTCCAACGTTGAAAAAACGGTAACGCCGATAGGAATCGTACCGGTAGAACCGGCGGTCCAGTTCGGTTCCTATTTTCCACAAAGTTCGGTTCTTAGGCCGGTTCCGATGCTCATCCCTAGTAGTTGGTAACTAATAGTTAATATTTAGTAGTGTTTTATCAAACGCTATAATTTAGAAGCTCTAAAAATGTTCGATGCCAAACACATAAATTTTCATTTGTAAATAATTAACTTAAATAATAATGTTTTAATTTGCTATAAGATAGAGCAAACTTATTAATGAGCCAATTATTTAAGAAATATACTCTAAAAACTATCCTTTTTCACAACCAAATCTAATGAAATCCATTTATTTATTAAAAAAGTTAATTTCTTTTTTCTTACAACTATACTACCCAACTAAATTCAAATTTTCATTTTCATTAACAACCCAATTGAAATCATTTTTTATTAAATAAATATAACGTCTTATTTTCACCAACAAAATTTTCATTTTTAATTAAAATAAAACACCATTTTCATAAAACACAAGTTAAGAAAACTCATCTGTTAGAAATACAATTATATAAAAACCAGAACAATGTAAGGTAAATGCAGGACTCCACTGCTGCTGATGAATGTGTACAATCATGCATTCGCCTTCCCACGATCATCAAAGATACATGAAAAATCTTTAATCCACAACTGTAAATCAGAGCTTAGTGAGTTCCCCCAAAATACCACACACCACAATATATATATATATATATATATACACACAACACACACACACACACACACACACATATATATATATATATATATATATATATATATATATATATATATATATATATATATATATATATATATATATATATATATATATATATATATATATATATAAAATACACACACACGCATACATACATACATAAAATGAATATACACATGAGCCTTCAGTCTGACTGGACCTCATCACAAGGCCTATAGTACACTTGGATCGCTCTATAATATCGAATTTCAGTCCATGACTGGCCTGCCTCCCATGCCTGCAGCATGCAACTGGTCCGCACCTGGCCTACAACACACCGATGGCTCGTCCGAGTATCTTAGTCTACCGTACAAAGCAGGACCACCTCAACCCACCACCAAATATGACGACATATAAATCAAACAAACATAAACACATGCAACTATCTAAACTAGTCTACCTGTCTATCAACCCACTACTGTGACAACCCGTTATTTTCAATCTTGTAAAAGTCAAACTTGGGTCAACTAAAGTCAAACATGTCAAATTAAAGTCAAATTGTACTTTTGATTTAACTTGTTAAGGTTGGATTAATAAACTTTAAGTGTATAAAACCTTGTAGTTATGGTGTTGTATGAATTAGAAGTAAAACACCCAAAACCGAGAATTCTCGCAAGTCAGCCACTTCGGACCGAAAACCATTTTCGGCCCTAAACCTTCGGACCGCAAACGTGCCTCTGACCGTAAATGTCTGAAGCCGCAAACTCACCCCTGACCGAAAGCATGCGAGACCGCAAACGGTTTCCAACCGAGAACCCTCGGTCTTATCTTCTCCGTTCGCATAACCAAGCATGTGTCACGTCAAGTTTTCTCATTATAAGTGCTTAGAACCGAAAGCAATACCTCACTTCTCCACTCTCCAACCGAAAACTCTCAACTCTCTCTCAAGAACATCAACCGAAAACTCCCTATTCTCTCTCAACTATCATCCGAAATCGTTTGAATCTCCTTCGGATCTTGCTAAGAACACTAAGTGTTCTTCATTTCATCGATCAATCATCATCCATTTCCGGGATCTTCAACCGAAAACACTTGAATCTTCAAGTGGCCGAAAACCCATTGAGGACCGAAAACACCCAGCTGGCCGAAAACTCCTAACAGTTTCTCGGTTCACTTCTAAATCTCTTAAATTTTGGGTAAATCTTACATCCTAGGCTATTTCCTTAACATACTTGCCATTATATTCACTAATTATATACCTATATATTGCGTGAAATGCTTTTAGGACTCGGTTTTGTTACGGGACTTAACTTGTGGAAATAACATCCTATATCGAACCTTCAATCAAATCACTCACATAAGGTGAGTTCATACCCCTGCAATTTACCTTTTTAAAATGTTTTTAGGGGAAGAATACAAGTAAAACACATTATAATTGTGTTAAAACGTACATACAAATGCAAACAATCAAAGAAATCACAAACTTATATCAATATTGTTAAAATCATTTTCAACTCAATTTTCAACTAATTAGATTATTGTTTTTATCAAAATCGTATTCATTTGTATATTTATGTATAATTACGCTTTAACAGACTTAGGACTATTGCTATTACCTTAACTCCTGTTCTTTGTTTGGATGTGGGCTTAGGGTATCTGTCGGTTAAATCATAATTATACATGCTAAATATATACATGAATATTAAATCTCATTTCAAGAACATACTCTACTCATTTGTACATGCTGAGCAAATGGGTCTTTTCTCCAAACCATTTACAATACAATTAGACATACTAGTAAACTATAATAGGTATAGTTTTGAGGTCAAATCATACCATTTTCTATTTCCCAAAGAAACATTACATAAATCAATACATATGCACTAATACATTTACAAAAAATTTACAAACATGTTAAGACACAACATTTTTCATAACAATAAGGAACAAACTTATAAATTATGACGTGTATAGTTTAAGGAACAAACGAAACTATTTTACAAAGTTACATGTTATAAACAAAAGGGATTCTCAGTTATTACTCATAAAACGTTGAATCAATTCGTGAGTCATTTTCATCCACTTACCTAAGTACGGGTAAGTCCTGACTTATAACCAGAGTCTCTCGTAGGGAGTTTGACGATATTTGTATATAGATCTATTTTGGGATTGACAACCCCAAATCCCGACTGTTAGCTACAGTCAGGTCGGCAGGCCTGGGATGACAAATGTCGTTAACATTTTTGACGCCTGAAAAACGTCGTTATCAGGCAAGACAGGGTTAGTATGGTTATAAGAACTCACAGGGAGAAAACAACAACTTATTTACGATTAATATTTATATTCAATTAACCTAATTTGTTTGGAAATATTGAAATTAGATTATAGAGCAAATTTACTTCAGTGGTGTTATTTTAATGTAACGCCCCATTTCTGGTATGTAATTTTAATTAAAGTATCTCCATTTCTTAAGGGGTACTCGACGAGTCTGTAGCCCGACTCGTCGAGTAGAAGCGGGATAAGCTCGCGATTTAAGTTGGCTACTCGGAGAGTCCATATGTTGGGACTCGACGAGTCTGCCTGTCTGGATGAAGCCCTAATTTCAAGGGTTTGTACCCTATTTAAACGTCATTATAGCCTCCCACCCCAGCCTCCAGCACCTTTAGAGCATTTCCCCTGTAAACCCTAGCCCCATTGTCGAACTTGAGTGTGTTTGTGCTAGTTTGGAAGCTTTGGAAGGGAAGGAAGGAAAGAAGGTCCATAGAAGAGAAAGGAGATCCAAGAGTTAGCTTCCATCTGTTTCCCATTCAGGTAATAAAGTTATTACCTTGTGTATTCCTCCATTAAACCCTCTTTTATGCTTGTTATGTCTTCTTTGGAGCCTTATATGATTCAAAACTTGAGATATGGACTCTCCTTTGGATGGAAACCTTAGATATGGACGTTATTGAAGTCCAGGAGCTCATTATAGCCACCTTTATGCAATCTTGGCCTTGTTCCAAACCCTAAGAGCCTAGTATTTGATGATTTTGGGTATTTTAGCCTCATACCCTTGTGCATGCACGTAAAGTTGGAAACTTTACGTGTAAAACCAGTCCTAGAAGCTCAGATCTATGATTTGGAAGCACTGAAATAGATTAGAATCGACTGTATAGTAATAGCATGCTTGGGACTCGATGAGTTGTTCTTCAACTCGGCGAGTTGTTCTTCAGACTCGACGAGTTGTTCATACGACTCGGCGAGCCACAGACTGGACGTGTTCATATGATGAAGGAGAACTCGACGAGTTGTTCATACAACTCGGCGAGTCGGATGAAGTTAGACTCGATGTTAGTATCGAAGAAGACTCGTCGAGTCTTTGCCAAACTCGACGAGTAGAAGCGAGTAGAGGACTAGAATGGATGAAAGGGACTCGGTTTTGTTACGGGACTTAACTTGTGGAAATAACATCCTATATCGAACCTTCAATCAAATCACTCACATAAGGTGAGTTCATACCCCTGCAATTTACCTTTTTAAAATGTTTTTAGGGGGAGAATACAAGTAAAACACAGTATAATTGTGTTAAAACTTACAAACAAATGCAAACAATCAAAGAAATCACAAACTTATATCAATATTGTTAAAATCATTTTCAAGTAATTTTTCAACTAATTAGATTACTGTTTTTATCAAAATCATATTCATTTGTATATTTATGTATAATTAGGCTTTAACAGACTTAGGACTATTGCTATTACCTTAACTCCTGTTCTTTGTTTGGATGTGGGCTTAGGGTATGATCACCAGTCCGACTGTCGGTTAAATCATAATTATACATGCTAAATATATACATGAATATTAAATCTCATTTCAAGAACATACTCTACTCATTTGTACATGCTGAGCAAATGGGTCTTTTCTCCAAACCATTTACAATACAATTAGACATACTAGTAAACTATCATAGGTATAGTTTTGAGGTCAAATCATACCATT